GACCTCTGCCCTTCTGGTCATTGCTGGTCTGCTTCCTGTCCACATAAAAGCCAAAATGGCAGCCAGGATCTGGAACATTAACAACTTAGGCACCAGCAACTACCTCTGCAACACCAATAAGAATAATACTATGCTTTCTGATCTCCCTGAGCAAGTAAAGGAAGATATCAAATCCTACGGTATTGAGGTGAAGGATGCTAACTCTAATATGACGGTAGGCTACCCTACCATCAGTAGTTACACCCTTCCTCATGATGATACCTGTGACATCTCCATCTACACCGATGGGTCCAAGAACAACGAGAATGTGGGGGCAGCGTTTGTTCTTATTAACCATCAAAACGGCGACACTCATAAGTCTGCCTTCAAATTAGGTCCTCATTGTTCCGTCCCCCAAGCGGAAATACTTGCTATTACTAAGGCAATCGACTACGTTTTCACCGATTGGTTCCCCCGTAACAAAACCATCATCGTTTATACCGATAGCATCACTGCCATCCACTACATTACTGGCCTCCGACGCAGAGGCGATAACGTTCTTCGAATCCACCGTCATCTTGCCTCTAATACGCACAACCACAATGTACATTTTAAATGGGTACGTGGCCACTCGGGTGTAGCAGGCAACGAAGCCGCCGACAGCCTCGCTAAATCCGCCGCAGCCTCCTCCCTCCCGTCTAGCTACGACAAGATCCCACCTTCTAAAATTAAGTACTGGAACTTCCAGCTTGCAATCCACCAATGGCAACAGGAATGGGATAGCAGCATCACCGGCAGGACGACTTTCAACTTCATCCCTAACATCACCCAGCGCCTTCAGTGGAGACACTTCTCTCCTTCTTTCGCTATGACCCAGTTGCTTACTGGTCACGGCAACTTCAAGGCATACTTAAAAAGATTTCATATTCTAGAAGACAACATCTGTCAGTGTGATGGCACTTCCATCCAGGACAGCAGTCACTTCCTCTTTGACTGTACGCTGTTCAACCAGAACCGTGACATTCTTATTGGCAGTGTACTCTATGCTGGCTTCAACTGGCCCTGTCCTTTTAACGTCTTCCTTGAAAACAAGGACATTTATTATAAGCTAGCAGACTTTCTCTCAGCGACGGCAGCACTGAATCCAGCGAGCAGTCTACACATCGCAAACAACAGTGTTCGAAATCCTGATTGAGTGGACTTCTCTTCAAAAGTGTTTCTTCATTGTACCCAGGAACTGTTACCTTGTGATTTTCACTTCCTTTGTGGCTTTCTGTATCATAGTGTTATGCTACTGATCGCCACACTACATGCTACTGTTTTATCTGTTTTACTGCTTTGCTTGTTCTCCCCACCGCTTGTCAGGCAGTTGTCCTCATTATTTGTCTGTTGTTTTTTTTTACTCTGGTTTATTTGTAAATAAATGTGAAGCGTGCGCTGTGGGATCCCACCTCTTCCTCCCTCTTCCTGCCCCCACTTTCATCCCCTATCCTTCGCATTTCTCCCTCTTCCTTCATTTCTTTTCCCCTCCTGGTCGTACCTATGAGTGATACCAGGAGTTCCCTACTTTTCATAAATAAATAAATAAAACATGGGATAGGTTAATATATTTTTTCGTACATAATCGGTTATATGAAATATCAATTTTCCGAACAACCCCACTCCCCAATTGATTCGGATAAATGACGCTCTACTGTATAATATACAAACCAGTGACATTAACAGTATGATTGGTTATGCAACATGACCCTAGCATTATGTAATGTTTTAGTAAACACATACCACTCCCTTCTAAAGCATCATACCTATTACCAGCATTTCCACCCATCCATATCTGCGGTATGTAATTTACAGAGCTCCATAGTATAGTGCATAATAATATTCAGCTATCTTGTTCCTTAATACCAGATACACATTTTTGAATGTACTGTGTTATTTATATTTACTAACAGTTTTAAACATAATAGATAATTCTAAGGCAATAGTTTAATAATGAAGTGTGCCACGACCTTTTTCGTGGAAAGGTTTATTATTAAATACTATGGGACCAACCAATGGATTGATTGTAGAGCTTTTAAATACCTTCTCTACAACAATAGAGGAGATAAATTGTCAGAACACAAGTGTAAATTTGTGAGGAAATAGCTCCTTGATGACAAAATTGTACCAAATTTCAATAGGCTTTTTCTCATAGGATGCTGCCAGAGGATGGAGTTTTTATTTATCAATCATTAAGTGTCTACTGGAACATTTATGTAAATGTGATTGTTATGATGGTTCTAGCAAAAGTTTAACTGTGGGGAAGATAAAAACTGAAATGTCTAACGGCAGCCTACAAGAAGAAGCCTGTTATGAACATCAAGCAGGATTTATACGAAGCATAAGCAGCACAAACCTGCATTGTCAAAGGCTTAACCATTTACACTAAGCGTAATCGTGTATATTGGAACTTCTCCGTCCACCTCCAAAAGTAACCATCAATGCTTGCGAGCATGTACAGTACATTTGAAAAGATTCTATCTATGCATCTAGTGAAGTCTGTTTAAAATAAATAAATTCCTATAATTTATTTTAAAGTAATTTAAACTTAATTGCTCAGGACATATTTGTAAGCACTTCTTTCAGTCTTTTTCATAATAGTTTGTCTGTTAACTATTCCAGGTTTTAATATTTTTGATATACACTTTCAATTAATGGAGCATAGATCATGAACTACCATATTTTAAAATTCTTGTACCATTACACATAATATTATACGTGTCAGATAATGCTTTAAGCCGACTGGCCTTGCAAATTTAATTTTTATGATTCTCCACAGTGCGGTTGCACATATATGGATGTGTTTTAGCCACATGTGATGGTTGTCAGTTGTCTGTTTACACCCTTTGTGTAGCTTCGGCTTCATACTTATGAATGTATATTTATTCAATTTTAACCCAATCCAGGAAATCAAAAAAAAAAATTAATAAAAAATGTAAATTTATTAATGAAACTTAAGGAATAAATTTTACACTCTTTAATTATTCATTTGCTGTCATCAAATGACTCAGTGTCGTCGGATCATTAAGCAGTGCGTACCTGTACTCGTTCCAACAAATAATAGTAACTTGAACCATCTTCAATGCTTAATGCCTGAAGTTAGTACAACATAATGATCATTCATTACATTCTATTTTAATATATTAAAGAAGAAAAGTCCAATAAGTAAATTACAGTAAGTAGATGTATATGAGACAAACAAATTATATTTATCTAACTATTTGAATTTAAAATATTAAAATCCAAGGGAGAATTGCAAAATTACAATCATATGATTATAAAGTACATTTATAGTTTTTAGCAACAATTTTGAGCTTAAAAATATCCTCGTAAAATACATTAAACGCCAGTTTATAGTCCAGTGGCAGTGTTGGGTCCCATCATTGGGGTTGACAAGAACATCATATGGTTTATTGTCAAACGCTGACTGATGACTAAGTCTGTGCAGCATGGTGTTGTCATCAAACGTGTCACTAGACCGGAAGCCTGTGTGTTTAGTTCAGTGTCTAGCAGAGTGGAGGTTGATGAATGCTACAAAACTTTACAAACTTTGCCATCTTAGCACCGTGCTGCATCTGGACTGTAAACTTACCCTTATGCTATAGTGGCTACATAATTATTTGTAAATTAGTATAATGTATAAGACAGAATTTTAGAAACGTAACTAAGAAGGAAGTAATGATGTTCTGAGTACAGTTACAACATTGATATATTTAATATATTATTAAACATGTAAATTTGTATGTTTTTACCCAAATTTTTTATGTCCAAAGTAAACTAACTTTGGGCATAAAAAATAAAATGAAACTTTATAATTTAACGGAGTGTTTTGATTAAGTCTTGTTATTTTACAATTTCAAGGTTAATGGAAGCATTTAGTTAAAGTATTGTATGCTGTTTTAATGTGTAATGCCCAAAGTCTATTTTTAATGCCTTAATTTGTTTTTAAATGAATAATTTAAATGTTTTATTTAAAAATTAACTTGTGTAAACAACGTAACAAGAATTTAAATCATTACATTCTACTCCTGTTTATTGTATGTGCATATTTTAACAAAAATGCCTTAGGTTAACTAAGAAGACAAATGTAAATCTGGATTTAATTAGGTGTACACAACTTAATGACAAAGAGGAATATGTTGTTAAGAGAGTATCATACAGTACATTTTGATAAATCTATTGGTGTGGTACTGTTGTGTAGTCTAAATGCAATGCAATTGTAACAGAGTGTGATGTATCTAAACATATCTGAATGTAGAAAATAGAGGCAGCTATGAATTTATCATCTCTGTTATCATTGTATGGAACCACAGTCATTAAGTGGTTACGACAGGACACTGACAACTGCCAGTGTCCTGTTGTAAAATTTAAAATCTAACATATTTAATATAGTTTTTATTGTATTTTACAGGTAATTAATTTGTTTTTATTGTGGAATTTTATATATTTTGTAGCAAATCCTTAATTTCTTCTACATTACATTGCATTTGTTACTATTCAAGTTTATTCCTTCTAATAAAATAAGAACACAGCATTTTATAGGACAGTTACATGCTATATTATACATAGTTTAAAGAACAAGACGGATCAAATTTAATGCACTTGGAGTCAAAATTCCATTTTGGATTATCTCCCATGCGTTAATAAGAACTAAATATATTTTCTTAACGGTCTTGTAAAGATTGAATTAAACAGCAAAGCACTGAATTAACAGAAATGTTATTTTTTTAATTAAAAAACAAAAATAATAGAGTTAGTCGGCGAGCGAGTGGCAATATCAAAAAATTTAATTTAAAAAAAAGAAAATGTATACAAATATAAAATTAATTCTTTTTTAAGTTAATTTGGCAAAGTAGAATTAATATTCAGCTCCATATCTCTAATAATTCTGTTCTTTATTTTTTATGTTAATTTTTTTTTTTTTTTTAGTTTTCTGTTTCAAATAATTTCATGGTAATTCTTTTAAATCCACGTGTTTTTAGGATCAGCTACTTTTCTGCGATGACTGTGATCGTGGTTATCACATGTATTGTCTAAATCCGCCGTTATCTGAACCGCCTGAAGGTGAGATCGAATTTGAATCAAAAAAAATATTTAATAGCTACTGTTAATTCAGTATTTACATGATCTGTTTTTTATTGTTAGATTGGGTACAATTTTTTTTAAACATAATTAGCAAACTGATTGATTATGGAGCACGGCACTGGTTAATTTAAATGTTAAGCGGACAGAAATACAATGGATAAGTCTTATTTTATTAAAGGTTTAATGTTTCCGAACGGTTTTAGACAAGTATAAGCGGCATTGCATACAAACCCGCATTGTCAGCTGCTCAAGCATTTACGCTAATTGTACTCGAGTGGGGATGAAATTCTATTGATTGTCCAAAAGTAGCCCTTGGTGTAAGTCTTTAAGCGGCCGATATTGCAGGTTCGGCATGCTGCTGTGTAAATTGGCACTAATGTTTTTGCCATCGGGAACTTTGATTCAAAAATTGAAGGACCGAAACCAAATAATCTTTATTCAAACTTTCTTGTACTAGTTTCTGTAGAATTTAGTGCATTGCTGTCGATTCTAGTTCAAAATAAGTTTGGTTAAAGGTTTTTTGACTCAGTTTTTGATTCAAAAATGTCTAACAATGTTTTGAAAACATTAAAACTTTAATACAATGTAAATTTATCAGTCATCTGAATTTTGTTACATTTCTGGGAAACTAGCTTAAGAAAAGCTCTTTAACATCTATATTTATGAAATTTTGCTTCAGAGTGTAAAAGTTTGACGTGAAATATGTAAACGAGGCTCAAATGATTGTATTTAGAATGAAGTGGTTTACTCTTTACTAAATCTGCAATTGCGAAGAGCCTGTTTAGTTAATGTTTGGTACTTAAAACACACTTAAACTTTTAACAAAATCATAAGAATGCAGCAATGTAAGGTTTTCTGTACGGTAACTGCCAAACACTAGAGCATGCCAACTATTTTTATGTTGGAGCAGTACATACAGATATACAATTTTTCACTTGCTTAACAGAAATTAAACGAATAAAGTTTCCATGTTTTACATGTTTAAATAATGAAAGCATTTTGAAGTAATTCTTTTTAAGTACTTCTCTTGTCAACAGCAAAATTTTTTCTGACAAGGGGGTGCTTTGGTACTTATGAAAATTTAAGAGAGGGAGTGCATATGTTAGTTTTGTGTATATATTATTGAAGCACACTTACACACTGGTTGCAAACAACATTCAACAAATTTCGGCTGCTATGATGTTTAATAAAAACCACTTCCCTTAAGCATGTTTCTTCATGTGTCCAAATGAGAGTTATTTGGTGTGATTCAGGCTTTAAGGTGACGATAGGTTAGGTCAGAGGTTTGGTTTGTAAAGTGTTTGGACCATCCACTGTATGCAGCTGTATGCCTCAAATGGCATTAGGATAAATGCCTCAATAGATATAGTGAATATGTGGAAGTAAGGTGTAGATACTTAAACTATATTTCACTTATCTAAAATTACACCAATACAGCATTGTAGTTAAGGGGGCCACAGTTTTAATGGGGTTTTTGATCAGAACGCCCATTCTTAACATGCCAAATACATACATAAACAAATGCTGTATGATATTCTAAATTTTGTATACATATCTGGATATGATGGATATGAAGATGGAGCGGAACAGTGATTTTAACAGTATAAAATTAAGCACACATCTGCCTTATTTGCAGGAGTTGTATGATTTGAATCATAGATTAATTTAATTCTTTTAACTGTTAAATTTAATATGAGATGGTAACATTAGTTTTTTCACTTCTCATTACATACAAAAGACTGACTTATTGCTAGAAGCCATATTTGTCAATGTATTGAATCTAGTGAGTGATTTTCTATTAAATTTAATAACAGCCCATCTTCAATGCACTAATTTGGAGTGATTTGAGATCTGAACTAAATGGAAGTCAATCAGAATGCTTCATTCTGTCACATTAGTCGAATCTTTTTTTAATTAAGTGTTACAAATACAAGTTTAACTAGACAGTTTTTTACATATTGAGGTGGAGAAGAGCCTCAAAGTAAAGGTCGATTCTGCCATGGAATATTATTGTACTTGTGTTAGAAGGATAAATATTGAAGTCTTTGTGATTCTTCTATACATGAGTTTGTTTAAGTAGCTATTTCTTTAAAGTTTTCATCAACAAATATAGCATCAAAATAACACTATAGCAATGGTTTGCAGTCTATTTTGAAATCTTCACTTTGACTAGCTTAACTTTGATTTGGCATTTGCTGCCAGTTGACACAATTTTGCATTGTTTGACCTTCAAACGATGCACAATTACATCAACTGGCAGTGAATGTGTTAAATTATTGAATAGCAGGAAATTTTGTGAGTTTCTATAAGCTTATTGCAACAACTGGAAGTGTCTCGATAAGCCAAGTATACAAATCATTTCTTGATTGTATATTATAATCACACAAGAGCTAAGACATTTTACCATAGAATGGACATAAAGCATAGAAACATTGGCAAGTGTACATAATAAATGTTTTTATTTTTCACAGTGCTTTTAACACAGTATTCCTAGCAATCTAGACTCTAGCTCTCTTCTCGAGAACTTTCAAACAACACTGTTCTCGAGAACAGTGTTCTCAAAAACAAGAAATTTTACAGAGTGCTGCCAATTTGCTTTGTATGGCTACAGAGTAGTTATTAATTAATGACGAGATTATTTGAATCCAAGAATCGATAGAAACTATTTGATTTTAAAAAGTAGTTTCTATCAATAATGTCAATTACCTAGCAAATTTATTACAGGAATTACAATTAATCAATGTATTAAAATTTCTCGAGAATTCACACTCAATCTTAGAATAGCTCAGTCTGTGTAGTCAATCTGGATGCATTGAGATTAACGCAAATTGAATTTCTGATAGCGGGGAGAGGCATAGTTGTTGATTCTTGAATCAGATTGTTCACTGTCGTGCAAGCACATGAAGCATTTCAATACCTAGCACAAATTCTCAGGAACAACAAGTACTCTCTGCAACCGGATAGTTCTTGATTATTACATTTGAATACTCTTATCACCAATTTGTAGCTACTCAGCTTTCAAATAGAATTAAAATGCTTGACTTCTAGAGTAATTCAACACTTATTTATATTATTTAATGAGTTTAAGCCTGTTCTAAAACAAAATTTTGTGATTTATTTAGCTGCAGTGTTGTTCAACATACACACAACATTACAACATTTCATCGTTTTACATGTGAATTTTAATCTTTTAAGTCTAAGTCTTCACAAAACTTTGTTAATCATTCAGTTTGCTAAAATAAAATTTCATAAAATTTATTGAAAATGCTTATAATTATTATAAAAAATTTTTTTTTTCTATTTTGAATAGGATCTTGGAGCTGTCATCTCTGTATTGAAGAATATGGTCGAAAGTGACAGGAAATTTCCTCTAACCCAATTTTGACACTGTTACAACTGATATGAAACTGCCTGTTTCTCTTGTAATCGATATACCTCATTTAAATATTTTTCCGTTATTGGTTCTTAGTTGAATATATGCATATATATATATACATGTCTCGGAAGATTTCTGTGTAGAATACGGTACAAAAAGTAAGCCGACGTCATTTTGTTTTTTCTTTTATATAAATTTGGTACGTTTCGGAATTTAATTTTGGCAACCGTTTCCGGTTACGAAGCTCCGTTTCCGTCGTGGACGGGTTTTGGCCGTTCTAATTTCTGGATTGCAGGGACCTTTGCTATACAATGCTGCCAATTGCAGCCCATGGGCTGCATTCGTACACGTTTAGGGGGATTATTCGAGTATCCAAACACACATCGTTCTTTATTATCAAATGTTACCTCAGTAAAATAACAGTCCAAGATATATATTTTCATTTTTGCGTTTCAAATCTAGTCTTCAACATTGGCTATTCATAAAAGAAAAAGAGAAATTTTGAATATTACCTATTTTAATATTTAAAATTTTGGAATATTTTGTGCGTAGCCATACGTCGATGTTCCTACACCGTAAACCGGCACAAGAATTATATCCTAGTGATGTCGGTCACTGCTGTTCCTGGTGTTCCATTAAGGGGCCATCGAGTTTTTTGGTAGCTTGTTTGTGTATTTTAATTATTTTACTTGTGTAAAGAAATTTTAGATAGCATTCGGAAGTATTTAAATAACACAATTTTGATATTCCCAACATTTTTATTAAGGTAGGATTTAATAGTTTTACGCAAAAGACGGGCAAAGGTTGCTTCCCCATTTCGTTTGCATTTCAAATTTGTTAGAGGATAAACAGGGTAGCCAAAATTGGTGTATATTCTTGATGTAATGAGTGCTTTTGACTAATTGAAAAGCAGAATGAATGAAAATCATGCACGCTATCATGTGTCTATAATGGAAAAAATTTACATTTTTAAACTCAAGTATCATCTACTTTTCTGATATATTCTTAAGATCTTCCTTGCCTTCAGAATTCAGGGTGAAGTGTGTCTGTGAACGTATTCATTCATCATTAATACAAAGAAAAAGTTCTAAGATCGTGTTTAAATGTCTCCATTCTGACAATTTTGATTTGAAAATTCAAATATTCGATTGGATTTTATTTTATTAACATATCTTCAAATGTTTTTCTCAAAACTATGGTTGTGATAAGCACGTTGGGCATTGTGCACATTATAAAATATCATTCGACCCTGTTTTTTCTCATTCTTCGGCACACGTATATGCCTAGGACCTTTCCGCATCAAGAGATGTAGCTCGTTTCTCTAGTGATAAAGTGTTTCGATCACAAGACGCACGCGGAGATGGATATGGTGATAAAGATTAGGTTGTGTACTGTGTGGTGCTTATACAATATGCATGATATTAATACGAAAAAAACAAAAGTTATATCACAGTAGTCTTCACTTCTCTCAGGTCTGAGATATAAAAAAAATACTGTCAAATTTTTGAATAATATTGTTCAGGACAAGTTGCATTTGCAACTTTTAGTATTAGTAATTGTATTAGTATTGTCCTATAGCCATTTTTATTACATAATTTTATTGAGAATTTCCTTTGAATTTAATAATAATAAAAAGATTGCAAGTGCCTAAGATATCATTTTAAATATCGAGGCAGAAGAAGGAGCGAGCGAGTCGGTGGGTTTGTGTGGTTATTTGCAAAATTTATTTTGTAATTATTCTTTATTAATTAATTTTTCGCTTGGTGTAAAATGGAAGGGAGATGTTTGTGAGGGGAAGTCCATAATTATGTTACAAACTTGTACTTGTTGAGAAATAAGCAAGAAATTTTTTAATGCAGTACATATTTTTTGAGCAATCTCTGGATATTCAGGATATTCTAATACAGTGGGTGATCGGTTAACGAACATAATCCGTTCCAAGACTTTGTTCGCTATCCGAATTGTTCGTTAACCGATCACCCACTGTACTATGTAATGTCTGAAAATCTCTTGATTACTGTCAGAATCACTCCATTACATGTTCTAAAAAGGTTATTGTATGCTCTGGCTATGATATTGAGCGATTATCATCTTTCCAACTTTTAAAGAACACTTGAGAGATAGGCATTTTCCAACCAATGAAGAGTTTGGGAACACATAGAACANGTATATACTGGGTAGAACGTCGATGTCGACGTCTCCCGCGCTCCAAAAAGTTTCGAATTGTTGCCTAAAGACAAAGGAAGACCAATTGGTATTTGTTATTTTACGTCACTTCTTGTGTTTGTTCAGTGAAGTGTTCGTTATCCGAACATATGTTCGTTGTCCGATCATAAAAATCTTTCGCGAAAGTGTTCGTTATCCGATTTGTTCATTAACCGATCACCCACTGTACTATGTAATGTCTGAAAATCTCTTGATTACTGTCAGAATCACTCCATTACATGTTCTGAAAAGGTTATTGTATGCTCTGGCTATGATATTGAGCGATTATCATCTTTCCAACTTTTAAAGAACACTTGAGAGATAGGCATTTTCCAACCAATGAAGAGTTTGGGAACACATAGAACAGTGGTTACAATAGCAATTTATTGATTTTTATACAGTGGGCTTTTGGAAGCCAGTAGAATGTTGTACAAGTGCTTGGTATTTATATGGATTTTATTGAAAAACAAATGCTTTATGTTATTCATTTTCTTGCTTATTTGCCAGTAAGCATCCATCTATAGCCTAATTACTGACTTCTCCTCATATTATCGCCATTGCTCTAGTCCTGAATCGGATCTTTGCATTTTGCTTTCTATTTCCAATTAACGGTTGACTGTGTTGTTATTATATATATATATATATTTAAAAAAAGATATTTTTTGCATGTAGTTTGGCGCTACCTCATTAAGTATTTTATGCTGCAGGGCCGATCTTATTTATTTCTTCAATTATTAGAGTTTTTAAAAAAGTATAGTTGCTCATGACTGATTCTTTAACTCAGGGTTGGTTTTTTAGGGTGGCTTTTCGGTCCACCCGTTGCGCTCACCATGACATATGACCATTTATATACGTTCGATCATTGCTTGAGGTGACTAAGACCACCGGAAACATAACATTCTTCTGTATACTATATAAAGAAAAAGTATTATAACTAGTCAGAATTTCTAGCTATTTCTACTTACACAAGAAGAGGCATTTTGCTTTTTCGTTATATTTCCAGTCCTCTTCCCGCTTGGCAAATTTATATATATATATATATATCTCGTATATCTTTCCAAATTTCCTTTGCAACTTTTAATCTTCCAATTAATTATTGTTGCATGTTGTTGTTTGTCGGAACGAAGAGGAATTGTTCGATAATGAAGTTGGAGGTTTGTATTTTTGAGCATTTTTAAGTCATGTTACGTAAATTTGTGTGAGTTTTAAGGGTTTTTTTTACAAGTTTTTCAGTCTACCAAAATGTTTTTATTGTTGAAAAGGTTTTTATGCGAGACAGGTGTCGGAAGACAATCTTCCGGCGGGACTAAAAGGCCTGGTTTTATGTTATTTTTTGTTAGGGATCGTTAATGGATCAGGTCGCCCGATTCTTTCCCCCTCTTTATTTTTAAGGAATCGATCGTTTGGTCGATTGTCCGGCGAGATGATGATTTCGTTTGTCGCAGAATCACAAAATCTTCCTCTGTTTGTGTGATAGAATATTGTTATTTTGTTGGATTTGATCGTTCAAAATTTGACAAAAGAGGCTAACGACGACAAGATTAATTAAAAAACAAAAAAGTTGATAAATTGTACAAAAGTAAATAAAAAGAAAACAAAATTTTGGATGTTGATAGAATAGTTTAGCATCTTGCACCAAAGAAATTTAAGAAAAATCTGTCTCTTCTTGTGTGGCATGTACAATACATGCTAATTTATAAAAAAATAAAAGAAATATATATATATAAATAAAAAAGTACAAGACATTTGCTCAATGCTCTGTTAGTCCATTATCAGTATGTGCTCTAGCTAGTAATACCATTTGTTGTGACAATTCATTAAGAGAAATGCTGTTTTTGGTTGTAATCAAAATGTGATTTGTAGTACAAATAAAATGTTACCTGTATTAGCCTCATAATGGTATATTGTGTTTATTCTTAATAAAAAATACAATGGAACTGTTTGAAAGTAGGCACTTGCGTAACACTTGCTAAGTTCCCTTCTTGAGCAGTTGAATTGAATTGGCTCATTAACTTTCTGGTGAGGGAGCTGAGTAACATGCAAGCTGGCGGGCTTGTTATTATTTATGAATGTAATTAGTATGGATGAATTTTTTCAAAAATGGCACTTGCAGAGTATTTTGTAAGCCCACTTTCTTATGACTCAGGTCTGCTTGTTTCCCAACCAGAAAGCATGTTGTAGCTTTCAGCTAGGAAGTTACGTAGCTTGCATACTAATAAATGCTTTTGTGTTTATTAGTTTGCAAGCTTGTTAATTTCTGTTTATATCAATTATTTCACCATTATATACTTGCTATACATGGGCAGTCAGAAAGGCACATGTACCTAATCATGTTCAAAGTAGGACCCTCCATGCATACACTCGCCCCGTTGATTCTGCCATTGTTGGAAGCACCATCAGAGGACTTCTTTTGGAATATTTGGGAGTTCAGCTTTCAGATTCGATTTGATGTCTTCCACAGTTGCAAAACATGTTCCTCAAGACCCATTTTCAGCATAGGGAACAACCAAAAGTCACAGGGGAGCAACAGTCAGTGAGTAAGGTGTTTCGGCAATGACAGAAAGTCTGGATGAGGAATTGCTATACAACTAGTGACTCAGTGAATTATCATGATGCAGAAACCACTCTCCCTTACACATTTTGCATTGTTTCCTCCAAAACTACATTTTTCAACCATGGAGGCAACAAATCAAATGCAATGGTTGAACTCTTGAAATATTCCATAAGTCTCCTTATGGTGTCAATTGATCAACAATTGCAGGATCAATGGGGCAAGTGTATATGTGCCAAAGGGTTTTACTTTGAAGATGATTGGGTAAGCATTTTATATTTCATAACCATTACAGTGTTATATTTCAGGAACTTTTTTGACTTACCTGTATATTTTGCTACAATTATAACATTATTCTGGAATGCACAAAAACAATTAAGTTCAAAATTTTTACTACCAAAGCAATTTTTGTGCAGATACCATGCATTATAGTATCAGATATCTGCAATTTATATTTTAGAAACTAACTTTTTATGATTTCTAATGAAATCATTTGCATTTCATAGATGTCGGATAATGAGTTTCTTATTGGCATAACTACTTGGTTAAACAAAATTTACAAATTATCCACATCAAGTATATGGCAGCACATTTTGAAAAATTGATTACACATTTTAGTAACTTCTTATGTTACATCTATCTTATTTTTAGACACCATCTTTTATTTCACAGTATCCATGTGATACAAATGCCACCTATCATATTAAAACCACAAAGTCTTAATGCAGTTGGGCACAGAATCAATGAATTCTTTTATGTTGGCCCACTTGGCATACAAACAGTCTAAAAGTTATTCATGAGAAGCAGGTTTTTGTAAACGTCATCCTGCACAATCCAGCAGGTTTCAGCGTGTTCAATGGGATTTGTGTCGGGTGACCAATCAGCCCAAGAAAACTTGTGGATACCTTGTATTGCCAGCTAATTCTCAGTTTTTGTGGCAATGCTACAAGAAGTACTATCGTCAGTGGACAGAGTGGACATTTTGGCCATTGGCCAGCTACTGGAGAATATTGGAAGAAGATCCTTCTCCAATATGGCAATGTATTTTTCATATTGCTTCGTGCATTTGTCGTCATTTAGGGTGTCTATTTACATATGGGTTGTCTCTACAATATACTAAACATTCTATCAAGATAATTAAATTAGAAACATTGTCTTATAAATTAACATTCAAATTAATGTTGATTATGCTGTAAAATTTTATCTATAACAATACAAAACAAAGCTTTTAGTTGTTTTTTTTTATATAAAGTTACAATTAATGTGTGTGAATCTCTCTATGTCTCACTTCATATTTCGGACATTTGCACACCCCTTGCTTTTAAACACTCGATACATGAAACTCCAACCTTTTGTATTAGAGATAATGTGTTACACACTTTCTAACACTAAATTCATTGCAGACATCTGTTACTTTCATCAGTTATAGACGAATGTAAAAAAAACATTTAATTCTACTCTGATAACATTAATTTTTGGTAATTCGGTAATTTTACTTACATTAAAGATAAAGCTATGTCCTTGTTCTTGACATATTATTTCTTAACTGTGTATGAAAGTAATGAACATAAAAATGTAATTACAATAATTTTATGTGAAATCTCCTCTTTATGTGATTTTATGTGACGTCTTAGTATCTAATTATTAAAATTTCACTTCTAACTTAACTAAAAATGGGCTTAAAATGTGAATAGACATACAAGAACACTACAGAATACCCCATAAGTCAAGTAACTGTTTTGCATGTTTCAGATGCTCGTGAATTGTCAATTAGTCTTTATTAAAGTTAACTGATTTTTAGGCCATCTTATATAAAAATTATATTAATAATAATATAATAAAAATCATCACAAGTTAAATTTGATTGCATAAGATAGGATTGAAGTAACTGATGCGATTTGTTACATCTTCATCTAATGGGTTATTGAGATGTCCAAAGACTAAATAATGCTTGGATCCTTTCCTTGGACAATTGCACATCACTAATTAATGAATCTGGGAACTTTGAACCAGTGGAGATCAGTTTACGAATTGAGAAAGTTGCATTCGTCTGTGTCACCATATACCATAGGTTACTCTCTAGAGCAATGGTTTCAAAGTTATTAAACCTGTGGGTCACCTAAGCCAATTTACATGTGATCTGTGGACTTTATTCACTTCTTATCCTAGAAATATCATCTTAGACGAGTGCCAAAATATTTTGTATATTCAGTAATTTAATGTAACGGATATGCAATGTTTAAAAATGTTTTTTTCTCTGGCTAAACAGCATAAGATTCCATTCCAAATGACAGTCATCGGCAGACGACAATGGTCCTTGCACCACTCTTAAGAATCACTGTGTTAGAGAAATTTTTCATTCTTTTGTTGAAGCCAACGCCCTATCGTATTAACTTTGGTGTGTGCGGCACATTTGACTTTTAGTAACTTAGCCAATATTTTAAAAATTTAAATATTAGGAAAACTCTCAACACCACTAGAAGCTTGTTGCAACATCCTGGATACTGCAAAAACCAGATTGAAAGCCATTTTATGTTGCTCTTCGGGTTCTATTAAACTATGCGCTGTTGAGCTTCATAGGCCATAGAGTTCTTTATCATTTTCATCAAAATTTGCTATTATCATAGGATGAGTTTAGATTAATGAATAGATGAATCTATATCTTATGATGATTTGTGTATATTCTATAATGATTCTTAGATACAAAATAGGGTATACATTCATCCTGGAATGATAATATGAAGTTAATAATCTGTATTCTGTGATGGTTTTAAGATACCAAATGGAGTATAGATTCATCCTAGGATGATTCTGAGTTGATGATCTGTATCCTATGATGAATTTCAAATAATAAATGACCCTGAAATACCAAAGGGATATTTAAATAAAGGTAATGAATTTTTATAACTTAATTGTTCAAATAATGTAGATTTAATTTACTAATGATCTAAGAACTACGCCTAAACACATTATTAGAATAATTATTATACACACCTGGAATTCCTCTCAGCACTAGGTCTTGAGGGTGGAGGAGCTACTATTTGTGTTTGGATATGAGATAATTTCCTGTTTTTTTTTCATTTATTGTATTTTTGTAAAATTTTCAGTGATGTTTTATCACTTATTGCCAAATTTGTTTGCCCTTTTTAAAATTATAATTTAGTGTACCATTTAAAAATCTTTTTACCATCTTTTGGATGTACTTTTAGATGATTTCTTTTCCTTTTTTTAAGTTGTATTTTGTTGATTACTAGATCATAATTTTCCACTTTTTTTTTGTCTTTTTTAACGATATTTGTCCTGTTTTTTAGCCAAATTTTGGCTTTATTTTTGTTGTATTTTTAAATGCTTTTTGGCTACATTTCGTTGTGTTTTTAGACCTTTTTCTGCCGTTTTTTTCTATTATATTTCTGTCATTTTCTAAAAGTAATTACCAATATAACTTGCACAGATTAGGATCTCCCCTTTTAACAAAACTTAAATAAATTGTTTTGACCTTCAGACAGGTAACTTAAGCAGCGTTTGTTATTCTAAAAATACACTTAAAAACATAAAATTACTTCTAAAAACTGGTAGAAAAATTACCATTTAGATTATTTTGAGTTTTTAATCCAGAAAAATGGAAGCAAATCCACTTTAATCGGGCTTTTTGATAAGATATTGTATTTTTTGCACTAATTAGTTCCACGAAAAGCGCTCGCTGTTATTACAATCATTTGCATAACGTTATGTGACGTCAGTCTGTTACTCGATTCCCTTATATAGAAGAATAAGAAAGGAGCACGTGTCTTTCTTCTTATCGCGTATTCTCCTCTTCTTCCTCTAACCACGTTTAATTTACTGGAGTTTTTGGAAATTCTCCAGCAAGTGAGATCTTCGTGAAGATAGGGTGAAAATACTGATACGGGGTGGATTTGGTAGGGAAGCAAACGGGGTGGATTTGGAGGGAGCAAACGTTCTAGAAGCGAGGAGAGTAGGGAATGAAATGGCTGACGTAAGTGGGGAGAATGGGGGCGAAATTTCTTGTGTGAGTGGAGACGAACGGGGATGAAATATCTTAGATTAGTGGGATAGAATGAAGATGAGATGTGTTGTGTGAGCGGGTGAGTAGGCACGAAATGTGTTATATGAGCGGATGAGGCATGAAATGTGTAGTTGAGTTGGATGAA